CTGCTGGATGGTTAAGACCAAGATAAAGCAAGACCTATATAACAAGAAATGTAACTTTTGTATCTGCCAAGGTCCGTCAAATCCCCTCAGGATTTATTGTGAAACCCTGTACTGCAGTTTGTAGATCCTTTGTTAGTGTCAGCCATGAGGATGAGTCATGGCCATTGCTTGACCAATGTGCTCTCTGTGAAAGCCTGAGAGAACGTTTTCTCTCCATGTGACTCTCCCCAGGCACACTCTACATCACCGATCACTTTCCTCTGTGGCCCCATAATCTCTTTGATCAGAAAATTTGGGACACAACTGAGTTACATGTTGTTACAGTACAGGTTCTCTTAAGTCCTAAGTCCTCACTGACCTTGAAAGGCTAGGGCCAAAATGTTGGCTGTCCTTGCAGCCCTTCTTTTTTTCTAATTTTTGGTCTGCAAATTTAAGTTGTTAACCCTCCAGAAGAGAAGTTTGAAGTGTATTACATATGTACTTTTCAAACATAGAAAATAGAATTGAGCCTTTGTATCTGCTTGGATGATGCACAGACACACACTGGTTAGAATCCTGTGTTCAGAAGTCCCGAGCAGCTCGAGGCCCGGGGCTGCTGCCTTTGAGAGGCATCCAGTAGTCAGCTTCACCATCTGAGAGCTCACCTATCAAGAAAGCCAGTATGCTCCTCCACCCCTGCAATCACACAGTCTTGAAGGCTTACAAAGCCCAACTTCTGCACGCAGGTACCAACCCTACCCCCACCACATAGCTCTATAAAGCAGAGAGCACAGAGAGGGAACTTCTATCACTACAGGAATCCAAGCTCACCTGCAGCTGGCACAGAAGCTATTTTTAAATATATAATGCTTGCAGGTCTCGCTTCAGAAGCAGCACTGTGACAACGTTTCTCATTGACCAAACAAAGCAAAGCTAAGCACCTAATTATGGCCAGAAAATCTCAAAAATTCTTTCCAAAACATATGTTTTCACGACACATTAAACATCTGGGGCCCACAAGCAAGTAGGACTGTTAGAATGTGCATTTACTGTCTTGTGTTCTCTCGGTATTTATTTATTTATTTATTTATTTATTTATTTATTTTATTATTTGTGTGTGTGTGTGGCCAGCTCAGCCCACCAGGGGGCGGGGCTGGCTGGCATGTGGTGCTGGGGATTGAACCGAGGTCCTTGTGTTTTGCTTAGCTTAGCTTGTTCTAAGTAGGTGCTCTAGACCACTGAGCCATCTCACCAGCCCCTCGGTTTTTAATCTTATAGGTAGCTGTTAGTCGGAGCAATTGACGCAGTTGCTAGGAACAGGAAACACATTCGGTATGTCGCTGGCAACTGTGATTCCAATCCAGGGGACAACAGAGCAAGCAACACAATGTGAGTTTTGCCTCAGAGATTCAAAGGGGATCATTTAACTCTGAAAAACCAGATGTAGCAGCGATAGAGGGAAAATAAGGCTATCAACTTAAGGGAATACAGTGTAATAGTTGAATCAATGGGAAGATATCTCAGAATGGAATAAGCCCAAATCCACTAATGAAAAAAATAAGCTTTCATGATTTACGAAATTGAAATGTATAAGAGGGTATGGTTTGGAAGTGGTAGTAATGGTAAAGTTGTCAACCTACAAACAAAAGCCCTTCAAGGGCCGGTCAAATAGCTCAGTGGATTAAAGTGCCTGCAAGCAGGCACAGTGGTCAGGGGTTTGATCCCCAGGCCTGCTGTGCCAGCCCCACCCCTGGGGCAATTGAGACTGGGCATCATGGTGCAGACCTGTAATCCCAGCTCTTGGGAGGCTGTAAACAGGTGGATCACTACAAGTCCAATCTAGTAGTGAGACCTGAACACTCTATAGACCCTTCCCTAAAGTATAAAACAATAAAATAATAAAAAATAAAAACTATATAAACAAAAGCCCTCTAATGTGGGAGGTTAGAACCACCACCCACCACAACAGAAGTTAGGACAGACAACAGCCAGATGCACTCAGGACTCCCACACAGTGCTGGGGAAGTGCAGGACGGTTCAACACCTCTTGAGAACCGACTACACATTTTAACTCTGCTGCCGTAGTCCACCCCTGGGTTTTACCCAAAAATAATGAAAACATATGGTCACAAAATATTTGTAAAAGAACAAATGTTCTTAATGGCTTTATTTATGACAGCCAAAATTATACAACTCAAATGTCTACCTCATCAGGAGACTGGATAACAAATTGTGGTAAATCTGTACAATAGATTAGTATTCAGCAACAATAAAAACAAACCAACGGCCTAAACCCACCCAAATCTAGATGTTAAAATCCTTATGCCGAGTGGGGGAAATATCATATGATTCCAATTATATTAAAGTCTAAAAGAGGCAAAACTAATCTACAGAAGTAGAAAGAAAAACAGTGGCTGCCTTGGAGAGGTGGGGATGGAGATAGGGAGAGACTTGGAAGAGACTGCAAGCATTTTTTGTGGTGAGGAGTGTGGGTTCTACATACTCATCTGTTACAATTCATCAAAGGTTTTCTTAAGATCTGTTTTGTTTCTGTGTAAAATCACAGCACTTTTTTAAAAAAGAAAAAAGCCAGCATGGATAAACCACAAATTCAAAGCTATATGATTTGCTTTAATAAAAGGTCAATTCACATGCCGTAGAAAATAGTTCATTTTGTAACACTATTTGTGAAGAGGAACGCTGACTTCCATATTTGTGTTAGACCTCACATTTAGTTGCTTATCAATGCTGAAAACTTATCACTAGTGCCTTGTGGACCCCTCATTATCTGCTGCTCCAATTTAAGCTGCTCATTTTTTTTTTCCTGGCAAAAAGTTACTAAGTCCCCTGACCATTTTAAGAATCTCTGCACATGTGCATCTTTAAAAAAGGCAGATAGAAAAAGGCTTGCCTCAAGGTTGAGGTTTTCAGAACAAAAAGGATCTAAATTCTTCTAATCTAATCCTCCAGATTTTCGGTGAAGAAACTTAAAAGGTTGTAATAGACCACAATAACAGCTGCTGAAAAATACAACCTCGACATCCTTTTCCTATGACATCAGTCTGGTGCAAACCCCAATGGCTTCCCAGTAGGTACACTGTGAAAAAAAGCTGCAAAGAAAGAGATGTCCTCCCCGGGGGACACCAGTACCTACGAACCCACTTTGAGGAGAAAACTGACCCTTAAGCTACTTAAGCATGGTCCAAATACAGGATTGGACCACTTCTCCACCCATCCATCATCTACTCGGGCACCCACCCCGGCTCCCAGAGCCAAGATGGGCGGTACAGGGATCTGCTCCTCACGGAACAGGCTGGGCTTGAACACACGTCTGCAGTTTGGAGTCCCAAGAGCACCTTGAGTGCTCTGAGGAACTGCAGAATCGGTCCATCTGTAGGATTGTAAGTAGGTATTTGTGTGGATCTACAAGTGTGTACAGATGCATGTTTATCTAGATTCCATCTTTACAGCTGTGTACGCAAACACAGCTTCTGTTTACGTGAGGCAAGACTGAGCCTGCATGTACTTCAGAATCCACAGAGGGTGTGCAAACATGCTTTTGAGGATAGGTCAGGTATTTGTTTAAATCAACTAGGTGTCAGACAGTTGAAACCTAGAGAAGAACCCACATACTTAATTTTTTTTTAAAAAAGTAACAAACTGACAATTTCTCAAAACTGGGTGATGTCACATAAAATCCTAATACCAAGTTTTCCTTCAACATTGCAAGAACCAGGAACACTGAGGCCTCGTATTCCTGAGTAGCAAGGAATCCAGGATCTTGCTAGGACCTAGCAAGGGTCCAGGGGCCGATCCCCTGACAGAGGCCACTCACTGTCCCCTCTGCCATAGCTCCTCTGCTGTCCCCTGGCCTCGCAACGGGGTCCTGCACAGATCCCCAATCAACTCCAGGCTTGCTCCATACATTTCTGCCCCTTCTTTTTGAGCTGAGGGGTTATCTCATTCATTCATGTTTCCCTATCAGACACATGGGTGCCCAGACACTGGTTTATTTCACATATTTAGCAGTATATCTGGTGTCCCAACTTCTCTTCCTCTCAATACCACTTAGGCTTTCTGTTCCATTTTGCAATGAGTCTTCCCATACTCTCGTCTGTAATCTTTCCCTTTTTGTTCTGTCATCAGCTGTGCCGGCTTGTTTTCAACATCATCCAAAGCAGACCAGCCAATCATACTCCAGAATAATCCCCAGGCTGCCCAATGGCAAGACAGGCTGTTCTTAGACCAACAAGAAACCACAGCACATAGATAAACTAATTACCATGCTAGAAAAATAAAGAAAAAAACCCAAGAGAACTTATTGCAACAAGACTTAGAAAAATATTTATGGAAAGGAGACGGGGCCAAGCGGCAGCATGCTTACAGACTGCCTTTGGTCCTTACCTGAACCTCCTCAGCCCTCGTAGAATCGTTTGCCAACAGAGGCTCTCCAGTGGGAGCTTGGATGGTGACAGACTTTTCTGACCCTCTGCCATCCTTATTCCGGGGCGATTTATGTCTCTCTCTAGTTCTCTCCCTGAAAAGATAAATGATAATCAGCTATCAAATTTATGACATGTAAATTAACTGTCGGATTCATCAAAACACAAATTTGATTTTAAATTTAAGAAAACTCCTCACTTCAACTTTACACATGCATACGTGCAAGTGTGTGTGAACACACACACACACACACACACACCACCACCACCACCACCACCACCACCAATACCTACCCATCCAGCCCTGCATGGATTAAACTGATCTTTACTTAATTATTTCCTTTCTGCCATTCCACAACCTAAAACAAACACTGTCACTTTGCTACAACAATGATCAGATTTTTCTTTAGAGTATAAAATGGTAATTTTAGCTTTTTTGGCTGAGGAACATTTTAGTGTCATAATTACTCAGTTGATTTGAGTAATTTGCCTAAACTAATTTTCTAGTTTTTTTTTTTTTTTGTTTTTGTTTTTTTTATTAGGACACCAGTGCAGAATATCTAAGCCTTGGTCTGTACAAAAAAATCTGGGACACTGTCACCCTACCCTTTGTCCTTTTCAACAAGAAGAAAGGAAACTAAACTAGGACAGAGAAATCATTCGTTTCTCATTCTTACAAATTCAAAACTAAGTTATTCCCATAGGTTCTGGCTGAACTCAAAAGACACCCACAGAAACAAAGTCATGACAAACGACACCAAGAGGTGAGAAGGGTGTGTGTGTGTGTGTGTGTGTGTGTGTGTGTGTGTGTGTTTTCAAGCTTCCTAAGGAAAGCAGGTTGTTGCCTACTTTTATCCCAGATGAACTTTCTGGGTGGTCTTCCAGGGTGACAGGGAGGCCACACTACTATGGGTCAGTCTGGAAATTACAAAACTAATCAATCACGGTGGCCAAGCCTAGAGGTCACAACCTGGTCAATATCCACTTCTGGAAACTGGCAGTCTGGCCTCCAGATGCCACTGGTGAATCCAGGAGCCCCTCAGTGGAGGACAGCCGGTAAGCCCCCTCAGCTGTCCATCCCACTGGCTGGTTGCCATCAGTCTTTCTTCCTAAAAGACCCACTCTCTCATTCCTGCTCCCAGGAAAGACAGAACTTGAACACAGATTTTGCAGACAAGCTGTAGGATCACAATCTGCCTCACCCCCTAGGTGACCTCCCACGAGTCATTCAGCCTCTGAAATCTCAGCTTCCTCCCGTGGGACGTGGGGACTTAGGATACTGCATGGACCATGGACACACTGTTGGTGCAGGGCGTGAAGCAGGTGCACTAACACAGTGGCCGTAATTACTGAGGTTACTGTTAACTAACAACAAAAACAGTGTCGACTTTGTGAAGCAGAGTAAGTTACCCTGGAGATAGAGCTATATAACTAGATCCATGAATACATCATCAGGTCCCCTTCCACTCCATACACCAATCTCCCGTTAACCTACTACTCAGCAATATCAACAAAAACCTACAACAAAAGCCTGTCATATGTAGGATTCTTGTCCAATGTCTACTTTATCACTCTCTCCCTAGGATAAGCCTGGCATAACTTCCTGAAAGAGCCAACAGGCTCCCATGGCTGCAGAGAGTCTTTCTGTGAACAAGGATTCCAGCTCTACAGCATAACTAGATATAGCTTCCAGCAATTCTAGAGTTTTGGGGCTGGTGAGATGGCTCAGTGGTCTAAGGCACCTACATAGAACAAGCTAAGCCAAGCAAAGCACAGGGACCACGGTTCAATCCCCCAGCACCACATGCCAGCCCGCCCGCCCCCTGGTGGGCTGAGCTGGCCACACACACAAAATAAATAAATAAATAAATATTAAAAAAAAAATTCTAGAGTTTTGCTTTAACCAAACAACTAGAGAAACAGTCAAGCAGAGAATTTTGCCATGTACCAGAGATGCATCTAAAATAACAATAACCATCACTCCAATTTATAGAGCTCCATGTTAAATGCTTTACTATATGAGTTCCATGCAATCCTCATAAACCTTTGCCGCCATTCTTACTGTTCCATTTTACAGAGGAGGAAACTGAGGCTCACCGCTTTGGTGGCTTCTCCATGGTGTAGTAAGTAGCAGAGCTGGATCTGAATCTAGGTCTGCTGCTATTACTTACTTTCAAACCTAGTGTTTCAAAAAAAAAAGAAAAAAAAACTGGAAGAATTTGTAGCATAGCTATTCCTCTTGCTCATCCCCACACTGACACTTGTCCTACTAGAGCTATGAAATGTGCCCTCTTGGCCCTACAGGACCAGGAGTCACAGCTGGACCGTGACCTTAGCTAGCACAAACCGGCGAGCCCGGCATTCCGAGTCTAGCACCAGCACTTCCAAGGGTATTCCCTATTGGAAGCAGCAACGATGTGGGAACGATCTCCCACGTGCTCGGGCTTCAGAACGGACATCAGATCAGGGCCAGGCCTGCCGCCACCAAGGCCCACCCACACCAGACGCCGACCCTCTCCGGTCTCATTCCCACTTTCCCTTCTGCTCTCTCAGTTGTCACTCTTGGCCATCATCCAAGTCACATGTGTACCTCACCCACCTCTCTAGTCACAAGCCCACAGGTCAAGTCCTATGACAGCACGAATTCCACCGGAAATCAGGACCTTGCACTGAATGCCAGCTCCTAGATCCCGAGCACTGGCAGGCGGAAGGGGATAGGGAACCACCCAGGGCTGGAACCACCCTGCACCAACCACTCCCCACACCCCCCAGCCATCCAGCCCAGCTCTTAAGGGGCCAAAAGCAGCAGACGCAGAATAGCTTTCCCACCAGATAAGAAGCTTTGATCTGATAAGCTGAGGAAGGTTTCCCATCCTCCAGAGCCTGAAATCCTAAACCAGTGCTTCTCAACCTACAGTGTGAGGAAAACCACCCTGGTGCAGATTTGAGGGCAGATTGCTTGGTGCCACCTTCCAAGGATTTGCCTGGAAAGGAGACGGGAGGAAGCTACAGTCCTCTCCTGCACCCAAGTGATCAGCATGCAGGCTGTCCAGGACATTCTCCCTACGGCTGTTCTACCCAACTGCTCCTGAGGAGAGCTGCTGGAACAACCAGCTGGGTTCTACCTAGGAGTGAAAGGCCCACCCTACCAGTGGCTCGACCCCAGCAGCCATGAGTGCCGCTCAGCTGCACAACGTCACACAGCACAGTGACCTGTTACTAACAGGAGCTCACAGGCATAAGCACTCCCTGGCTAGCATCAGGTCAGTGGTAGGTGGATGGACAACAGTGTGTGGTTCTGACCACGGCTGCCCAAGGCCGAGAGCCTTCCACGTGTGCCAAATGGGAGGCCATGTAGACTAGGTCCTACCATCTGGGCACCAGCACGGGGCCAGGTGGGCTTCTCCTCGCCCTACTCTTGTGGAAGGAGCGAGACCTACCACAGAGCTCTTAACAGAAACTGCCGCTCCTCCAGGACGTCAAAGGGATCCAAATAAACCTGCCCACCTGGCACCCTCCTGCAGAGCAAGTCATAGTGCAGCCACCTCACTGCAGTATGGACCCGAATGCTCATGCCCGGAGCCCCAGCTGTCACTTGAAGGAACACCTGTAGCTGCCAACTCTCCTCTGCAAGAGGGACGAGGGCTCCCCAAAGATGAACACGAGTAGTCCGTGTGTCAAAGCATCTAGAAACAGATGTCCTGAGGACAGTCTGCTCATAAATGGGGTTTAAGGACCACAGGCTCCTCTGCCCACTCTGCCAACATATGCAATCACCGAGTGCCTCTGTGGGGCAGCTATGCTACCCGTGGGCATCTGTGGCACTCTAGCTCTGATCTGCCTCCAGGTACCATCTACCCAGCAAAGAAAAGCGCCTCTCTGCGTGTGAGCTTGCACACATATGCAGGAGAGGGTGGGAGGAGCGAGCAACAGCATCCAGGAGGTCCCCGAGCGTGTGCGTGCCCATGCGTGTGTACATGTACCCACGTAGGCAGTTCTGGAGCTGAGTTCAAAGGCGCTGCTGTAACCCTCCAGCCCAGCCAGAGTCCTCCAACTGCCTCGCTGTGCTCACTTACAGTCAGCATTTCCTGAGAGATTATGTAGTCCTGCTTCTGTTGTGTGTCTATTTCTATTTAGGGAAAGCCGGCCCCACCGGTTACTCCTCCTTTTCCTTCTCTACCGCCACCCACCCACTCACTACCTGTCCTTCTCAGCTGACTGCCAGGCCTAGCTGACAGCTTCCTGCCTACACTGAGTAGGGTGGGAGAGCTGGACCCAGGGCAAACTGGCCCTGAAGTGGCTTCAGAATCCTCCGCTGCCCAGGCCAATCTCCTTTAGACAATGCACTTTAGTAAATCAGTCACTTGAGTTATCCTTCTTGTCCCTTTCAAAAGGGGCACTTCCTTTGTAGTGGATCAACAATCCTGAATGCTGCCTAGGA